ACTCTGCGCTGGCATCTCCCTTTCTGTCCTGCCCGATCCCAATTATTCACCTTCGGGTCCCTGTTCGGGAGCCAGATATTGGTGTTCTTTGTGAACGGTGACGCTGAGATGAGCTCGGCGTGCAGGATTGAGTTTAGAGAAGCAGAGGGCTATTGCTAGTCAGGCAAGTAGCAAAGCCCCCAAAGCTCTCATGGCTTTTATTTGGGGAGCACAGCAAATAACAATGGAGTACAGCAAGTAGCAATGATTAACAGGCATGCTTATGAGGTCATCAGAGCTAAGTTATACATTAAACTACTAATTTCCTATGTTATACAAAGACCCTTTCCACCTGCAGCAGTGTACCCTCCCTTAAACTTTCCATGCCCTCATGGACTATTTATCACCTCAAGGAAAGTTCTGCCTCTGAACAATAAGTCTTGCTTGCAAGACTTTGTTCTGATGTGGCCTGCTTGCAGGCTCCCGCCTTTTCTTGGCAGAACGTCCTCTTCTAGTTAACTTCTCATTCCACTTGTCCAGCTACACACGTGGCCTTTTTTTCATCCACTCTAGGGAGCCAAAGCCAAGTGCCACCTAGGCTCTCTCCTGTTGCTTCTTCTCCCCCAAGTCCTTCCTTTGTTTCACTGCCCCCAGCTTTAATAAATGTCCTCGCAAAAGCTCCTGGACTCATTTCATGAAATCTTTGCTACACCAAGTCAGGTAACACTGCATCAGCAATTGGCAACCTTCTCTATCTCATGGCACACACCAAATAATGACTGAAATTGTGCAACACACACTGCAGGCCAGCCTGAGGCAGACCCGCTCTGTGTCAGCCCCTGTCCTGTAACACACAGGCCCCTCTACATATCCTTCTGAGTCAGTCACACCCGTCTGCACCTTCAGCCTCCACTCTCCTGGAAATGAGGGGAGCTGGTCCCAGATGCAGGGCATGATTTGGGTGGGAGCTGTGACAGGGGAGCGTGGCACTGGGCGCTGACTGGGGCAGGGGTGGGGGCAAACAAGATGCAGGAGCTGCTCATGAGCAGGGAGAGAGGCAGCTCAGTGGGTGTCACATCTGCTGAGCCCTCAGCCTGTGCCTCGGGGGGTCTCACTCTGCATCAGCGATTTGCACTTTTCCATCTCATGGCGCACACACTAATGAATGCAATTCTGCAGCTCACCAAAAATATAGTGTACTTTTCCAATCTGATTCTTTAAAAAGGTATAATTTGGATTCATTCACACCAGATGGCCATTTTGTGTCGGTTGTTGACATTTTTTTCATTTGACAACCTAAGGGGAAAGAGGTCAGTGCCCCTGAGTAAAGTCCGGTATTGCATATTTTAAAAATTGTGGCGCCCAAGGGTGGAAGTAGAATGTCCAAGGCTGCAGTCATGGCGCAGGAAGAGGAAGATACTCTGGACGACAGTTTGAACGAGAAGCAGAAGGCGACCAAGGCCAAGTATCTTCCAGTCAATGGAAGTACGAGTACTGGATCCTACAGTGGGTGTCCAGGCACACTCGTGGGGAGATGCTCCGGAGAAGCTTTCGAGCAACGTGCAATGGCCACGTTTGGGTCCATGACAGATACTGAGACGGTGAAGCCCCTCCTAGCAATACAAGTAGAAACACAAGGAGCGGGTTTCTGTTTCACTTTTTGGATGATTGGCTTTGTAAGTTCAGTGCTGAGGAATTCTTCTTGCCTCAGGAAATGAAAGTACTTAGTCTTGAGCAAGTAAATGTCAAATTATGGTCAACTGGGTGTGGAGAAGAGTTCTCATTGCCCAAGCATCCTCAGGGAATGGAAGTCAAGGCAGTAACATAGTCAGCCATGCAGGTCTGCACTGAAGGGAAGCCAGAGGGTTTGTGATCATTGACTTTTAAGATAAAGAAGAAACTCCTATGAAGAACTCTTTTGTTTTCTCTTCCTTTTGAGAAGATATAAATTCTATAGTCTCCGACGATATATGATGGTTTGCAGAACAGAAATTTTTTGCTTAAAGTGTGACTTTCACAAATGGAAAATCAAGGCACAGCCTTGGTCTGTATTAAGCAGATATTCGAATGTTAAAGAATTCTTCAGGTGGCAAGTGTTGTTCCTTATTTATTAACTCCTTGCTGTGTCAACAGGTGCCTCACTCCCTTCCGATGGAATGCCAGCCCTCCAGCCTGGTCCCAAAGGGAGCATTCGTGTAAACAGCAACCTGAGAGATACTGAAGCCTTACGCTCTTATCAAATCCAATTTGGGAGAAAAAATGATAATTTGTGGAATTTTATAATCAAGATTTCACTTTCTCTCCAAATTGGTCAAGACATATATTTTCAATATGTATATTAAGAGAGGTTGTATTTCAGATGGCTGTAGGACAGAGCCATCCTGTATTCCAGTTGGATATCTTAGAAGAAATAATTCTAATTGGACAATTGGGAGACTTCTCTAGAAAGAGCCCTGAATTTCTATCTCCTTCTTCTCCCTCTCTGAAATAAATAAAAGTATATTTAAAATGGAAAAAGTAAGTAAATCAATAAAAATTGTGGCAGCACATGCGTTGAAAATTACTCTCTCAGTACTGCTGTGCCAGGTCAACCTCTTTGCAATCCCACTCAAACCATCTCCTCCTGGGTTCAAGTTGCTCCCAGCTAATTTGTCCATGGCCTCCAGGGTGGAAAGGAAGGCTTTACATGCCCTGCACCTGAATTCTTCCTCCTCCTGCCAGTTCTTTTCAGGTAGAGATTTCTTCAAAAGATTCCTGAGTTACTTTGAATCCTGACTCAATCTCTGTTCTTTCCTTTGCAAGTTTAATGTACTGTATGTCTCAAGAATATCAATTCCCCATTACGTGTGCTTTTCTAAGCTGCCAACTTGGTCTCAAAGTCTGGTTTCCCAGCTTGTGATGCAGGGGGAAACCCCTTCACACCCCAATCTCCTCAATCATCCCCTGGGTGTCCTCAATGCTCCTCCTCCCAATGGCTCCTCAGCAAATGGCTCCAGGAAGCAGCAGTCACAGTGCCCCACACCCACCCAGAGAGGAGAGACAGGGGAGGAGGAGGACTTAACATTTTAAACTGCAGATTTTCCTTACTGTTTATTTTTATTTTTTCACTAGAGGCCCGGTGCACAAAATTCATGCATGGGGGTGGAGGGGTGTCCCTCAGCCTGGCCTGTGCCCTCTCGCAATCCGGGACCCCTTGGGGTATGTCTGACTGTCAGATTAGGCCCAATCCCACAGTTGGACATCCCTCTCGAAATCTGGGACCTTTGGTCCTAACCACTGGCCTGCCTGTCTGCCTGATTGCCCCTAACCACTCTGCCAGCCTTCCTGATCACCCCTAACCATGGGTGGCTGCCTAGCTCCCTCCCTCTCAGCCGCAGGTGGTCACCTGGGCTGGGGTCCCTCCCACCACCTTGCCCCTCCCTCACAACCTCAGAGGCTTCCTGGATCCTGCAGCAGCCACCTGCTCAGAGGAGCTGGAAGGTCCGGAAGGATGAAGGTCCATAATGACTTCCACTCTAATTAGCATATTACCCTTTTATTATATAGGACTAGAGGCCCAGTGCACAAAATTCATGCACTGGGGAGGGAGGGAGGTGTCCCTCAGCCCAGCCTGCACCCTCTCAGTCTGGGACCCCTTGGGGGATATCCACCCGCCAGTTTAAGCCAGCTGTCAGACATCTCTCTCGCAGTCCAGGGCTCTCGCAGTCCGGGACCCCTCACTCCTTACTTCCCGCCACCACCACTGGGCTTGCCAGCCATGAGCATGGCTTCTGGTTGAGCGGAGCTCCCTCTGTGGGAGTGCACTGACCTCCAAGGGACAGCTCCTGCATTGAGCATTTGCCCCCTGGTGGTCAGTGTGCATCATAGTGACCATTGTTCCACTGTTCGTTCGATTTGCATATGCTTTTATTATAAGGGATGTTTTTACTGATTTTTTTTTTTCTCTTAGAGAGAGGAAGGGAGGTAAAGGAACATGGATGAAAGAGATACATGGATAGGTTACCTCCTCCACAGCCCCTATTGAGAATCAAGCCTGAAAACCAGGCATGTGTTTTAACCAGGTTCATTGAACCTGGGACATCTTAGTGCAGGGGCCCAGGCCTAGCCAACTGAGCCACACTGGCCAGGGCCTTCTCTTTATTTTGAAGTAATTCTGTACCTTACTTTGGGTTTGTGGCAGTATGCCACCTGGAATCAACTGTGGAGTCAATAAGTACAGAAGGCAGCTAATCAATGATTCTCTCATCACTGACGTTTCTATTTCTCTCTTCTCCCTTCCTCTCTGAAATCAATAAAAACATATTTTTCAAAAAAGGAGCAGAGAGATGACCCAGCTGAGGAGTGACCACCTCAAAGCCCAGGATGCACTGACCAGGAACTGTACACAGCTCCTGACCACACTCAGTGCTCACAGCCTCTCCTGTTCCCACCTGCAACAGACTCAAAACAGCAAACACATGGGTTCTAGGAAGTTCTCAGTGATTCTAATTATTCCCTCTCAAATTTTAGAATCTTCTCCTCTACTTAACCCATCAGCCCTTCATGGCAAGAAACGGGAAAACAAATTCACATCCAGAGTCTTATTTCAATCAGGCAGTAAGAAGTTGCCACTCAGTGCACCACGAAGTACAGACAGGGATGGGGAGGGCCCAGCCCCAGCTGTGCTGGACAGGAAAAGTGGGGGGAGGGGGGCGAGCCTCCCACCTCCTCATGTTATGCTGATAGGAAGGCACACACATTCAATGCCCTTTGCAGAAAGAAATCAGAGCTTCTTCATTTATTTATTTATTTATTTATTTAAATATATTTTATTGATTCTTCACAGAGAGGAAGGGAGAGGGATAGAGAGTTAGAAACATCGATGAGAGAGAAACATCGATCAGCTGCCTCCTACACACCCCCCACTGGGGATGTGCCCGCAACCAAGGTACATGCCCTTGACCGGAATCGAACCTGGGACCCTTCAGTCCGCAGGCCGACGCTCTATCCACTGAGCCAAACCAGTCAGGGCTATTTTTTATATTGAAAATAATTTTAATTGATACATCACAAAAGCATTGAACATGCAAGTAATGTTAATAAAATTTTTTTAATGAAATATTTAAAACAAAACAGTAGTGCAGAAAATAAAATGTGTGCATAATCACACATATTTTAACACTTCCACATTCATTTGGGAACTCGGGCCTTTAACTTTTGGAACCATGTTAACTTACAGGCAAATGAAGGAATGTAATGAACATATTCTACAGAAAGTTATAACCTGGAAAACTACTTCTGTAGAGTATTATTGCCAGGCAGTGATTAAATGTTTTTGAGAATCACCAATCTGAATTTATTTTTTTTTTAAGTCAGAGGTTCTTGATGTTTGGGCTATCAGACAATATAATCCTTAATGGCCATTTGTACGCTTCCCGCCACAGGGGAGCAAGAGCAGGAACAACTTGCTAGACACCAGGAGTTAGACCATGTAAGCAACTGAAATTTTCCAAAAGGCACCTGATCCCACACCTGCATTTTATCCCCATTCCAAGCCACCTATTCAGCCCCGAGACCCACTGACCAGAGTTTCCTGCCAGTGACTGCATATAAGGATGAAACTCCACATCTTGGGTGTTGCCATCATCCATCCACCCAACCTCCACTTGGCTCGGTGCTGTGCAGCCCTTCCCTTTGGGTTTCCCATCCCCCACCCTCTTTCCTTAAATAAATTCAATATTTCTTTATTTCCATTCAAGATGGCTATGTAGCCTGCCCACGTATCACCATGCTAACCTTTCACTTGAGTCACAAAGTGGGAGTTTGGACAAATGTCCCATGACTCAGTCCCCCACTGAGCACCACAAAGTAAAGACAGGGATGGGGAGGGCCCAGCCGGGCTCTGATGGACAGGAAAGTATGAGAAGGGTGAGTGGTGGGCAGGGGTGGGCCAGCCTCTGACCTCCTCACGTTATGCTGATAGGAACACACACATTCAAATGCCATTTGCAGAAGGAAATCAGAGGTTCTTGAATCACAAAGTAGGAGCTCGAACAAATCCCCCATCACTGGTTCCCCCACAAGGCACGTGCCTCACGCTGTGGAAGAAAATGATCATGAAATATTCAGCTTTGTGGCTGTAAGTGGTGACATTCTCAACAACCTATGCAGGCTCACTATGCCCCAAAGAATCCCCATCACCCAGACCTGTCCCCTCGTTACATCGGGGGTTTACCTTTAAAAGCCAAGAGAGATTGATCAGAGCTCTGGGTACTGTAGCTGCCTGAGGTAGAACAAAACAGGAAGTGGTCAGAGCACCCAGGAGAGGGGACAAAAAGAAGGAACTATGGGGGTGAGGTCCCCCATGAGCTCCCCTATGCACTGTCATACGGTCTCAGAAATCACCCCTCCATACTCACTGGCAGCCTAAGTATAGCTCCCTCCTTGTCCACCTGTGGGAAGAAAACATCCTGTGAGAAGACAGGGAGGAGGCAGGGCCATGAGCTCCTAAAGCAGCGGTTCCCAACCTGTAGGTCACGACCCTTTGGGGGTTGAAGGACCCTTTCACAGGGGTCGCCTAAATACATCCTGCATATCAGATATTTACATTACGATTTATAACAGTAGCAAAATTACAGTTATGAAGTAGCAACGAAAATAATTTTATGGTTGGGGGTCACCACAACATGAGGAACTGTATTAAAGGGTCGTGGCATTAGGAAGGTTGAGAACCACTATGACCTAAAGGAATTCCTAGTCCTGGAGCCCAGAGAAGTTTCTAGATCTGTGACTATAAACCCAGGGCAGGATCAGGAAACCTGAGGAAACTACACATGTGGGGACTGGACCAACCATCCTCTCGGAGGTCTGTCCTCAGCAGGGACCTTCCACCCTGACCTGGGAGTGCTGGGAACCAGGCCCCATCACTAGAATCATCAAGGTGATGAATCTGTCCCTCATTTCCACACATGTCTTACTAAAGAGTGTCAGTAAATAGGAGCCCACACTGGGCAACCACATGTGTGGGGATAGTACTTGCCATTAATGAAGCAGAACACACTTCTACCTGGGCTGGCAACCCCCAGTGAGACAAGAAACTCAGGCCCCACCCCTTCCCTACCTGAGCGCTTCCTCCTCATCACAGCTCCAGCCACAGCTCCAGTGACCACAGTTCCAAGGATGACCACGCCCACAACAAGGCTCAGGGGTTGGGGGGGGATGGTGGCCCAAAGAGATGGCTCTGGGAAGGGAAGGGGAGGTGAGGGCCCTAACCCCCAGGCCTCAGCCCTCACCCCACTGAAGTCCTCCACAGGCCCCTGCTTCCCTGAGAAGAGGCTCTGTGCCCACGCCCCTCCTCACCCCATCTCAGGGTCAGGGGCTCAGGCAGCCCCTCGTGCTGCACATGGCAAGTGTATCTCTGCTCCTCTCCACGGGGCACCACCAGGGCTGCCCACTTCTGGAAGGTCCCATCCCCCGCAGGCCTGGTCTCCACCAGCTCCATGTCTTGGGTCTGCTCATCCCCATCACGCTGCCAGCTCAGGCTGATCTCCGCAGGGTAGAAGCCCAGGGCCCAGCACCTCAGGGTGACCTCACGGTCAGAGATGGGGTGGTGGGTGACGTGTGTCTTTGGAGGGTCTGAGGAGAAGGGTGAGAAAATTCAGGGACTTGGCACTGTCAGGGGACCCTCCAGCAGCCCTCATGTGACCACCTGAGCGTGGACAGGGCACCTGGGGTGGGCGAGGGAGCACACAAGCACCACCAGCCTGGACAGAGCATCTGGGGATGACCTCTCCTCCTTAGAAAGTTCTAGTCAGAGTGACACAGCCCAGGGCAGGAGGCAGGTCTCAGGGGGGAGAAAGGGATTTCTGGTCCTGTCCTGGGTGGAGGCCAAAGGACTCAGAAAAGTCGGGGTCAGACCTCAGATACACTAGGGGAGGGGCAGGGAGCAGGGCCTGAGAGAGCAAGTCCCCCATGGGTCCCAGAGCCACTGCAGGGTCAATGGGAACTGCTGATCAGTTACTTCAGGCTTGGTCTCCACTCTAATTGTCCCTGAGAGACTGCACCCCTAGGTGTCCCTGAGAGAAGGGAGGGCGTCCCTGGATCTGAAAAGCCAGGCGGACTCAGTCTCCTGGCCCACAGGAGGGGGGTCTGACACTGACCCTGTGTCCTGTCTCCTTGTTGAGCCCCAGCCCTAGGGGAGAGGGGGGAGGCCCCAGGCCCCTGGTACCTGCGCGCTGCAGGGCCTCCTTCCCCATCGCCAGGTATCTGCTGAGCCACTCCAGGCACTCCCCCTGCAGGTAGTGTCTCCTTTCCTCTGCTACACCTTCCGCCTCCCACTTGAGCCGGGTGATCTGAGCCGCGGTGTTGGATGCAGTCCAGGAACGCAGGTCCTCGTTCAGGGCGAGGTAGTCGGTGCCGTCGTAGGCGGACTGGTCATAACCGCGGACGAGGCGCCCGTCGGGTCCCATTTCGCAGCCAAACATCAACTGGAAGGTGTGAGACCCTGACCCGCGCCCCTCGAGGTCAGGTCCCGCCCACCCAGCCCGGACTCCATCCAACCCTCAGGATGAAACCGACACTGAAAGTGCAACCAGGTCCTCCCGGGTGGGGGACCAGGAGGGTCACGCGGCCTCAGGGTGAAGCTCGGACCCAGACACTCAGGGCGACCCCGGTCCGGCCGTGGGGATGGGGGTCATGACCGGGCCCCGTGGCTCACCGTCCCGGCTCTGGTTGTAGTAGCCGCGCAGGATGTCCAGGTTCAGTCGGAAACTCTGTGCGGCGACCTCGGCGTTGCGCGTGTTCAGGTCCCAGTAGCCCGGCTCCTCCCGCTCCATCCACGGCGCCCGCGGCTCCATCCTCGGGCTCGCGGAGTCGCTGTCGAACCGCACGAACTGCGTGTCGTCCACGTAGCTGACGACCACGAAGCGGGGCTTGCGATGTCCGGGCCGGGACTCAGCGGTGAGGAAATGTCTCAGGGAGTGGGGGCCTGCGGGACGGAGGGAGGGGCTGACACCCGCGACCCTCCTCCCGGCGCCGTTCGGGGCCGAGGTCTGTAGGACAGGATGGGGTCCGGGTTTGGGGGTCTGGGCGGCGGGGGGGGGGCGGGTGGAGACGCGCCAATTCGGGGTCCTGCGCCCCCGCCAGGTCCCCTCGCTCCTCCCCGCAGAAGCTGTTCCCTCCCGACCCCGCACTCACCCGCCCAGGTCTGGGTCAGGGCCAGGGGCCCCCAGAGCAGCAGCAGGAGGGCTGGGGACCCCATGACGCGTCTTCGCTATCTGCCGTCTGAGTCCCGAGGAGGCCCTGGAAGCATTGGACCAGGAGCAGCGGGGACGCTGATTGGCTTCTCTAGAAACTGCCCACCAATGGAAGTGAGAACTCGCCCCGCGTCACGAGTATCCAGGAAGGAGGGCCCTTCACAGGTTTTGAGAAGTGAAACTGCAGGGAGATGGGGACTCCCCTACACTGAGCTTCCCGCTTCAGACACCGCCCTGGGACTGGGACCCTGAGACCAGACCTGGGACCTGGGACGTTGCCCTGACAACCCCCCGCCCCTCCTGCACGGAGAGCTCTTTGTCTCATGGTCTCCCTCAGTCCTGCCCAGGGGCTGTGTGAGGAACCAGAAGACTCCCCAGGCTGGGACCAGCCCTTTCCTTCCCTTCTCCTCCTGGAACCCCTCTCCCTGGAATGCACTCTGCCTCCCACCCTCACCTCTGCCCTGCACATTGTTAGGTCGCTGACGGAGGAACGCAGGACTATCCCAGTCATTCCACCAAATAAAATATCGCTTGCTTTAATTGATTAGTTTCTTCAATGCTCTAAATTTCACTTTTGTAAAAATTTGAGATAGAGAAAGGAGATACAACTGTATTTCTAAGAATGGTGAGGGATTACGAATTTATTCGATCATCCGCACACCAGCTGGCTGAGCCCCAGATGGCTCCAGCACTCAGTAAGGGGAGCCAGCTGTTTTTAAAGGACTTTTGGCAGGCTTTTCTGGGCGGAGAATTCTCTGTGCAGGTCTGGAGGGGAGAGATAACAGAATGTGGTCTCAGCAAAAGGGTATGTCCATAGTGAAATGGCCTGAAAAGTCAGTTCCTGGGGGAGGGGTAATAATTCAATTGCTCAATCAAACCTAACAGACACTTCTAGAAAAAAAACTCTCCCTGGGAACTTGATGCCAGAGAGTGAGCTCACCCTGTGAAAGGGGAAGGAGGGTTTTCTCTTTAACCATGTAGGAATCTTACCTGAAAATATTGGATAGAGATTCTCAAAGATAAGTCAACTGCAGTGGGGAACACAACCTAGGAAGCCTGAGCATCAGGAAGCTCACCTGTGAAATGAGTGATTTCAGAGGCTTCATATGCAAAGTGTCTAAATAGCCCTGGAGTGAGAGTTACAAAGCTCCTCAATTCTCCTCCCCACACAGTATGTGTGTGACTCGGAACTGATTATTCACCTTCCCCAGTCATTTCACCAAATAAAATATTGCTTGCTTTAATTGATTAGTTTCTTCAATGCTCTAAATTGCACTTTTGGAAAAGTTTGAGAAAAAGGAAGGAGATACAACAATATTAGTCAGATTTTCTTAGTAATGCCGTTAATCATAATGTTCCCTACAGTAACTGGAAACAAAGTTGAGAACACACAGTAGCTGGATCAAATAGTTTAAGGACTGGGCATCTCAAATGGGGCATTCCTGTTCATGTCGAATTGGTGCCAGCAACCATCAGCGGACACAGTCCTGTCCCTCAGATGTAACCTCTCACTGATTCCTGTGCTTCTTATACCCTTGAGATACTCTAAAGATTTTCAATAAGTATATACATATGTCCAACCAGAATCTTAGTTTTGCCAGTTTTACATTTGCCTGCACAGAGGACTGGTCCTGCATGACCCTCTGAGACTCAGCGTTACCTAAGGGTCATCTCTCCCCTGTGAGGCTGTCCTTCCATTTTGAGTGCTGAATCTTACATGTTATGATTATCCTAAAATATTGCTATTTTCCTATTGATGTATATGTGGTTGTTCCAGTTTTTGCTAAAACATTAGTGTACATGTCTCCTGGAGCACAAGACAAGAAATTCCCCAGAGGGGGTGTTCAGGGGTAGGAATGCTGGGGCCTGTGGGGCCTGTACTTTAACCAAACTCGATGATGCTCAGGTGATTTAAAAGTGCCTGTGCCAATGTAAACTTTTACCAGGATGTGGAAGACTTCAGGTTGCTGATATAGTTGCTCTGAAAATAAACCAAACACAGATTAAGTAGAAGCATTAAGAGTTGAAAGTCAGTTCTTTGGTTCCTGGCATTGCAGAATCACGGAAACATTTTCTTTTCAGACTATAATTAGTTCCTTTACTTTTATTCCACAGCCCTTGTATTTATACTTTTAACATATACACCCACGTAATGCTTCCCTTGGCATGATCACAGAGCATTATTTTATACGATGGGGAGATCTGATGACAAGCACAAAGGAAGGAGAGAAGGAAAGATGGAAGGGAGAAGGGAGGAAAGACAGAAAATATAGGAGAGAATAGAGGAGAACTGGAAACAGCGAGTGCAGGTAACATTTCCAAGTGCAAGGAAACCAAAGTGTAGACTAAGAAACTGCAGAGAGCTTTATTACTTATCCACTGCTGAGCACCAAACTACCCCACACTTTAGTAGCTCCAAACAATAAGCCACTAAAGAAGGGATGAGGTCGGGTGGACAGCTGGCCTGTGGAAAAGGTTTTGAAGTAGATGGTGTTGGAAAGCTGTAATTGTCCTCTAATGTGTTCAGTGTTCTCAGTGAAGCAGGAACAGGGCACTAGCAGTAACAGATCGGGGAGGAGGGCGGCTGTTTGAGCAGAGGATGGGGGACTGAGGGAGCCATGCGGAGACAGGATGATTGTGGGCAGCAGCGTGGACGCCTTTGTGGTCTGAGTCATGACCTTAATGTGACAGTGTCAGCGTGTCTGTATTGTTCTCCAGCCTCCTGTAGCTGCATGGGGCCAGGTGCATGGTAGGCAGAGGTAGAATTCACAAGCAAGAGTGACACAGCAAGGGAGAGCCAAGGGAGGGTTGAAAGGGTGAATCATGGAATTTAAGAGAGGAGGAGGGAGGAGGGGACATGGAGGGTGCGGGACAGTGAATAGATGGCTGGATAATCAGCTCGGATCCCAATGGGCTCAAAGGACTGTTGGAGTTGATGTACCTCAGGGAGAACTCATGCCTGGGAAACAGGCACATCTGTGATGAATGGTTTACTGATATTGCATTACAACCTATGAAACTAGAGGCCTGAAAATTAGTGCGAGAGTAGGCCTTCCTTCCCCTGGCTGCCGGCATCTGCTTCCCTACTGCAACCGGGACCCAGGCTGCTCCCCTCTGGACCCTCTGATGTCCTTCTGGAGGACAGAAGGCCCTGGAGACCCTTGCTTTAGTCCCAGTAGTTCCAATGTGCATCTCCTCACTGTGGAAGATAGTGTAGACATTGAGATGTTGTTCCCAAATAAGAGATGACTTTATTTTGAAAACTGAGTTTGAAAAAAAATCACAAAGCAGAAACAGGGAAGAGAAGAAAATATGTCTACTTTTCAGGTTTCCATGGTGTTGTCCTCAAGGGATTGGAGGGAGGAGGGGTGGCAGTGAGGAGATGGAAACCTCAGAGATGGCTCCTGGCTCCTGAGCACTGTTCTTGGTCAATCCCTGTCCTGTCCTGACCTTGACACTGTGGAGCCCAGGACTCGCCAAAGCTTCTT